ATTACTGGACATAGTTAACTGAAGCTTTTATATCTAGCTAAGCTCTCCTCAAAGCTGCCAAACAATTAAAAACTAATTGCACTTTGAGAAGGCAGGAGTTCTTTTGACTTTTGCAGCCTCAAGCAGTTTATGTTTATGCTATAACTCAGTCTTTAAGAAGTTAAAGCAGTGGTAGGGCAGCAGCTCCGATGTTTTTTCGGGAGATAAAACAATGCATTCGATGGGAGCAGCTGAAGCTCAGGGGGTAGGAGTGCTTATTCTCAAATCTAAAGGTCACTAGCTCCAACACAATTGTTTTAGATCGCATTCTGGGGTTATATACACCAATGCCCCCCATTGTGTTCAATACATGTTTCTCATTTTGAATTAAACTGAACGTAATGTGGTGTAAAATGTATTAATTTCTGTGCATGCTTGAAATATGACCCATCTCGTTCGTCTTTGAGCCTCCAATAAAGTGCATTAACGTTAGAATTTGGTTGTGATTGGAGCCAATGAGGCCACAGATTTATTCTATGATATGGATGGGTCTCTGACACATGATTATCCAACTGACATATTTAATTAAACAAAGTAAACAGGTACGAAATCCCCTCAACTTCACAGCTGAATTATGTCCTGGCATTTAAGACCAACAAAACTTTGTGCGACTCCAACAAGTTAATTACATGCTGTCGTTTGGCAGTTTGCTGAGCGGTTGAGCTCAGATATTACTCCACTTCCCCTTACTTTTGCAATTTGCATGGCCTGCTGACTGTGTTGCAGGGTTATTGCAGAAAAAAAACAGCTCGTGCACGCTCAGCGAATTGGATAAAGTGTATGTATGGATATAAAGGTGGTGATTTTACCTTCTTGAAACGGAATGGATAGAAGAAAACTGGGATAAACCTGCCAGAGAGCAGAGAAGACGCTGTCACAGGAAAGTGATGAATGACGCTTCAGGTGTAATTTAAACCTCTGACAGCTTTCAAACAGTTTGCAAAAGTGGATTTTAAAGAAAAAAAGACTCGTTGCCTTTCCTGTCAGTTTATTCCTCTGTTTTGTTGTTGGGGGGTTGGGTTGGGTTATCATAAAATAACAGTTTTTGTGTAAATAGAATGACTCCATCTCTGTTTAATTAATTAAATACACCTTCTTTTAACCTAAAAGATATTTTTTTAGAAACTAAATATTTCAGTATGCCAGAGAGTTCATTACTTTTTTTTAAACAGTTTAAATATCTCAGCTTATGCTTCATTTTGGATGGTTTTTTGGAAAGTTTAAAATGTTGTTTTTTAAAACCGAAACTGTTAGTCTCCTGGTTCCCATTCTACCGGGAAAATCTTAAAAATAAAGGCTCACACGGGGCTCACCAGGCCTCGAGCCAAGCTGGGGATTTCTCATTTGTCAAGGACGTATAGTTGAGATGAACTGGGTGCAATTAAAAAGCTGTGAAGTGAAGACTTTATTAGCAATAATTCAGAATTAGCCTGACTCGGTCATGCTGGGATTGGTACTGAGCTAAGCTTTCTTGGATGAAGAAATTTAAATATCTTTCCCAAAACTCGGCTTGTTTTTAAGCAGAAGCACTTGATAACTTAAACCAAATATTCTTATCTTCAAGAGTCCATCTGACAACATGTCATACATGAGTTTATCTATTTTTACGCACAGTTATGTTGCGGTGATTCGGACACAGCTGCTTTTGGGCGGTCAGTTTGGTCCAAACACATCTCTGGCAGAGGCAGAGTGTTATGCTGTTAGCTTGAATGGTGAAAGTCAGCCGAATAAAAAAGGATGGGGAGGTGGGGAAGGGCAGCTGCGAGCCTGTCAAGACGTGATTCATTGTGTACACAGTGGGAAATAGGTAGTCTTCATTTGAAAGTCAATTCTGGAGCTTAGACGTGCTCCGGGGATTTAAAACTGCAAGTCAAAGTTATGATGGGGTCCCCTGGTGACCACGGGGGGAAAACTTTTGGCTTGTTTGTCTCTACCCTGCCTTCAAATCAAATAGAGCTCAGGACCTGCGGTGTTTACACAAACAAGCAACTACTTCCTTGATTCAGTTTGATTTAATTCCCTACAACGGTAGGAACAACTATCGACAACCAGGAGACTGCAATCCTGTGGATTTGCATCTTTCATCTGCAAACGAATAAACTTTTTACGTGCTCCAAAAATGGAATTTTAAACACAGTTGTTGGTGAGTTTGTTCTTTCTTACCACTTATTCTGTGTTTAATGATCATGTGCCGAAAAACCATGACAACAATGGCTCCTCTTGATGGTTTTTCTGTGTTTTCCATCCCTGGGATTTCATCACATTGGGCGTTAACTTCACATCGAGCAAACACTTTACTGCATCTGTCTTCAAAAAAATAATTGCCTTGCTCTTTTAAATTAGCCATTGTTCAAAATATTGCTCCGACTGAGAAGTCTTTCTCAAGTTAACTTACTAAATACGCCCTGATTGTCAGATACTCGTGAGAATCTGTGTTCTTAACAATGGAGATGCTGCATTCTAAATGTGTGTGAAAATGTTGATTAAAAAAAGAAACATAATAAGTGAAGTTTATGCTAAAAGTCATGGAGAACATTTCACTTTTTTTCTCAAACTCCTGAGTTGCCTTTATGGTGCAGCTTCTGTTGCAGTGTGATCCTGTCGAGGTTGATATTTTTGGCAGAATCTGAGCAGTTCATCCCTAAACACTTCAGAAAGCGTCAGGGTTCATCCGTCTGCTGTCACTTCGTCACTAAATGACAGTTCTCCTCCACGCGTTACAGGAGATGCTCACATCTTCAGATCTGCTTGTGTTTGTAATTTAGTTGCTGTTATTTTTCTGTCATTCAGTAATTCTTTGATATAATTTTTTGGAATGTTAGCCTTTGTCTAACTCTTTTTCATCTATTTATTTAAATTACTTTAAACTTCAAATTCATAAAAAAAAAATGTCATCATAATTTAATTTAGATTCCTTCAAGTTACAGTAATTGAAAAAAATTCATTAAAAAAACAAAGTTAACCAATATCTAATTTTAGATTCCTTCAAGTTACAGTAAATAAATAATCCACTTTAACTTTTCTCATTCTGGCATTTACTAATTTCTTGAAAAATACCCCTAATTTTGGACTTTTAATTTTAGTTTGGACCCTCAATGAACAACCACAAAGAGCCTCACGGTCTCAGATTTATTAGAAATCCATTTCTTATTGCCAAAACCCTTAAGTAACCTTACTTTGGATCAAGTTATCAAAGGAAAAGCAGCGGTTTCTTTCTTAAATGGAATATGGAAGCAGCTGTGCTGTATGACATAGTCAAACCTCAAACTCAGCCCCCTGCAGAAGTTAGTCCATTAATAAGCCTTTTAGCACCGGGATGCTGCACAGAAGTTGACTGATTGCGCTGGCAGAGTTGGTAACGCACCAAGTGTGATAAAACACCGTGTAGGCGGAGAAGTGCAGCAGAATCTGCTCCTACCTGGATGGAGCAGCGTGGAAAATGAATGCCATCGCACTAAAAGTGTCCCGTACCCCAAAATGGCTTCATGTCTGCAGGTGGTTGGTACGGCTTTTGCTCATTAACAGCTCTTAAAAAACTGTTATTTTCAACTATTTTCAAAGTTTTCAACGGCCTGTCAAGATTTATTATTTGGAGCAAAAAATTCCCTGCCCCCAAGATGGCCGACACATCTGTAATAAACCGATGGAAACAGGAGGCTAGCAAAAACGTTATTTTCTTCTTCTAAGGCTGAGTGCTGTTATAACTGAAGGAAACCAAGCCAAAAGCTTTAACAAACAGAATTGCCTCATGGTTTATTTGGCGATATCCTTTCTCTTAGGCTGGTTTATTATCTTAAGAATTAATACGTTTGTGTATGCATGTTAGCTTAAATGCTACTTGTGTAGGAAGCAATTCTGCAAAGGTTTGTTTAACCCTTTAAAGCCCGATCCAAGAATAAAACAAAACAGAAAATTACTTTTTTGAGGTTTGAAGTCTTTATTTGGCCTTTTAACAAAATATGTAAAAAGACAAAACGGAAATACATTTTTTATATTAAGAATTTATTACTATGCCATAAGTCAAGATTATTTTTTGTGTAGTCTTCTGCCCCCTGTTTTCAGGTGTATCTGATTGTGTACAATAGGATTTTGAGCAAAGTTTTTACCATTAAATTATGCAAAAAGGTGTCAGACGCAAAACATTTCAGAAACCGTGTGTATCAAATATGATACATTAGACATTACAGGGTTAAGTTAAAAGTTTAATGCAGGAGAAAGCATAGATCCTTTTTAGGAAGACAAAAATATCAGTTTTTGATAGGCGGCCTTAAATTAGTTGCATTGCAAAAACCGGATTATTTCCGTGTTGCCTCTGGTCACCAAAATAAAGTTTGACTGCGTATTGTTCCTCCAGAACATCACATCTGACACAGAAGAACCACTCAGGACACGAATGCTGTTTTTGCTGTTCTTTACTGAAATGTATCTTATGCACACTGATGCATGCTGTGCGTTTTTCTCTTCCGCCATAAATTCTCGTTCAGTTTAATTCCTGTAATGCAAAGGTCAGAGTTATTTTCACACAGCGCTGTGGTGAATTATTGAAGATGCGTTATAGTGAAGTTGAAAACCAGACATTCTCACTGTCAGAAAGTTGGACTGACGTAATAAAAAAGAAAAGAGATGAGGCTGAATGCTTATCTCTCCGCTACATCACAGTTACTTGACTTAACACTCAGCCTAATTAATCCTCGGCCCTCATTTTAATTGCCTTAATATATTGGCTCTTTGTCTTCCTTATCTTGATTTTTCTCATGACGTCTATTTCCTCATAATTGATTCAAAAGGAGATCTAATCTCTCGGTGGAGCCGGGGGCACGTATTGATAGCTCTGGTTTAAACCAGCAACAGTTTTGCGGCTCTGGTTGTCCGCACTAATTACAGCACACTTGATGAATCATCTCGCCCGTCCAGTATTGAATTTAAAGACTCACCCTGTTTTTTTCTTTGGCGTTTGACAGGATTACACCAATGAAGGCGGCCGGATGGTGGCCGGTGGCGGTTTTTCTGGGGCTGGCCGTGCTGGGCACCGACGGGAGACCCAACAAGGACGGGTTCGGGTCCCCACCCGATCGACCCGTCGTGAGATTCAGACACAAGGTATCGATTTCCCTTCTTTTATTTATTTTTTTCCTCCATTTTATCTCAATTCGCCAAGTATGAAGCTAACCTATTCTTCTCTCACCCCCCTCTACCCCACTAATTTACCCAATGCTACGTTCAACCTTTTCTGGTCTGTCGTTGGACATTCAATATTTTATTTCATTATTTATTATTATTATTTATTTTATTTTATTCTATGTTTTCACATTTTTATTTCTACATTGTATGCCCTTTCTTGTTTCTCATAGAAGTGTCGTGCACCAAACACCAAAGCAAATTCCTTGTAGGTGAAAAACCTACTTGGCAATAAACCTAATTCTGATTCTGATTCTGATAATTACAGAGAGGCTTTCTTCAGCGTCAGATGACTCCTGCGGTGGTTGTTTTTCTGCCCACTTAAAAAAAAAAACACGTGATGAATCATTATCCCTAGACCGCTATTTCAAAGTTCCTCAGATTAATGTCGTGCACAGCTGAGCAAAGATGATGATGTAGGATGTCTGGAGTAAAGATCCTGACACGGAATTCTAGCTGAACATTTTAAGTAAAAGTAGTATTGACTTTGTGACATGATGCAGGCTCCACAGGCGAAAGATTCAGAGAACACATTTTTTTTGTTTGTTTTTATTATAAAGATTTCATTATGTGCAAAACGTATAAAAACACTTTTCATTTGATCCTAAAACGCGTCAGTTGAACTCGTGAATCAATTGGAGTCAAGGTGAGTGAGAAATTAACTGTCTCTGCAGATGGGGAGTTAAGAAAAACATACGGTTAATAAAATTGGATTGTGGTCTTTCAGAACACATTTCCCATGAGCCACTTTTGTAATTCTGTTCCGAGAGAAACACCTATTTTCTCCAGTCTGGAGTAAAAAAAATCCGTCATATTTGCTTTTAATTTAAGCCAGTGTGACATCTTCAGATTAAATGTTCCGTTTGACATTTCTCCCTGCCGATATAAAGAAATTCTGGACTAGATAAAAACAAGCCGTGCTTAAAAAAAAAAGGTGCACGAGAGGAAGTTAAACAAAAAGGAAGTGACTGGAAGTGATGGAAAAGTGATGAGCTGGCAAAGTTTGAGCTTTAAAGCAAGATTTATCCAGATGTGCGTTTTCTAAACATTTCAACTGCTTCCTTTTTTATCTAAAGCTGCTGTGGAGATGGAGTGGGTAAAGGAAGTAAACAGATTTAAGCCGAAATGCTCTGCAGGCCCATAATATGATGCCAATGATAAATGACTGTGACCCTTTTTATCAAGAGGAGAAATATTCTTCATCCACCTTTCTCTGAATCCTGTTGGACTTCAGTTTTAAGACATCCAGCTGTGTTTGTGAGTCCAATCACAACTGTGTAGTATGCGGTCTCATTTTCAGTTTTAACTACACATCATAGGTCGAGTCAAAGTAAGAAGGGAAATGCTTCACAGTTTTATCTAGTAAAGAGCTCCCTTTGAAGCCTAAAGGATATAATGTGATTTCCCTGTGTAAACACTGTTTGGTTGAGGATTCCAGGGATCAAGCGTTTACTCCAAAGGTTGCTGATCTGGGTTTGATGTTTGGAACACAAGTAAAAAAAAAAAGCGGGTCTGGATTAAGAGATAAAACAAAACCAAACATTGCCGAACTAGAACTTGAGAAACTCTTTAGCGGCGAAGAATCCGTGAATGGGAAATGACTGTTAGCCGAAGAGTTTTCTTCTGTTTGCAAGCTCTTTCGAGCATTTTCATCACCTTCCCTTTTATCAGTGGATTTGAGTTAACATGCCCCCCTTCACAGGCAGCAGACTGACTGCTACACACACACACCCACACACACACACACACACACACACACACACACACACGCAGCTCCATCCATTTGACAGTTGTTTCGGCTGTGGCTTTGAAAGAAATAAAACTAGTCAGGAATACCTTCCCTGCCATCAGTTGTTTAGTTCTTCTGTTGTTTAGTTTGTTTTTTGACACGCCGGAGCCTGATTGGAGGATTTCATTTCACCTTAGCAGTTTTTTACTCATTGATCAGTCGCGTGAAGTGATTAATTAAACCCGAGAAACGTGGATCTGCGTCCGCGCCTGCGTTTCCATGCAAATTTAAATTAATCTGAAACAAACTGGAGTGCTTCTGCACAGAAAATAAGCTACACGCTGATTAGTTTAGCGTGAGCCTTAGAGAAGTCTTAAGTAAGATGGAAGGCCGGGGCAAATTGCACCTGTTTGTGGGAGATAAAGATGTTAGGAAGAAGGAAGTAACAAAACCAGTTTTAGGTAATCTATTATGGGCAAGTGTTTTTCACCAATTGTTTTAAACCAGTAATCCTTTGATTTTTGCGGTGGTGAGATTTAGACTTATTTGAATTGTCATCTCCCATTTTACGCAACTTGTAAACAAAAAATATCAAAAACAACCATCTGGGTTGAAGATAAATGCTTATATTTTTACTTTCTATCAAACAAACACCATATTAGAAACATTTACACTAATCTCTTTTTGACAGTGAGTGGTACGTAACCTCCTTACTGAAATGAAAACGTTAAAGTTTCAATAATAATTAACGGCCAGTTTTAATGTCGTCCTGCTTTGTTGTCGGGATGTGGAACCGCAGCAACTTGGATAATTAATATCTGTCGACACGTTGCGTGAAGGCGACGACAAGCTCCAAAAAATGATGTATTTGCTTTTCCGGTGGAATGAAATTAATGCGCTTGCCGCTGTGATTACATCGCAGAGGGATGTCATTACGGCATCTGCATACCATTAGGATTTGTCTTGTGAGAGGACAGAGGTAAACTCTGCCCATCTATCCGCCTGTCGAAGAAAGTCGCAGAAATGATGAAAAATGTCAGATTGTCAGCCCCTTTCCAAATAGGGTTCGCTCCCTTCTGGTCGCCCAAAGGATTCTTTTGCTATTGGCTGGATTCCAAACAGGTTTCTATCATCTGTTTGTGAAAATGACAATTATTTAATCCCTTTTACAATAAAGGCTGATAATGGGCTTGAATTTTATCATCAATAATTTTATTTTATGTCCTATTTTGATGGCAGGACTGTGGCATAATTGACTTATGTGCAACGTGATAGCACAAATATTTTTTAAAAGTTCTTCGGTTTCCTCGGATCCCCTTTCAGGAAATGTACCTTGTTTTGAACTTGCGGTGTCGGTGGTAGAGGCTTCTACTTTGAAGGACAGCGTGTGACAGGCGTAACGGGATCAGACATGACCTCGTAAGCCTCCCCCAGAAAGATTTCAATCACAGAAGTCATTCGGCCACGAGCGGCCGGTCACGTGTTTGACCCGTGACTCCCGTCGGGTTATTTCATAAAGTCGCAGGGAAATCGCCCACATAAAGTCAACTGTTGTACAATGACTGTATTGCGAGTCTGTTTTTGTTTCTGTGGCTAAAAGAAGCTAAAACCTTGATTGAAATAGGAGAGAGAAACCTAACATTTGCATTTTATAGCAAGTTAACTAGAGGAGGGATGGAGAATACATGCATGTCATTTGAAATGAGGACTGAATTTGATTTCTGAGACTTTGTCACGTTGACTTCAAGCTATTATTTCAGGACAAACAAAATGGAGGGAAGGACAACTGTGTGCAAAGCCCTATCTGTCCAGCTCTGGCTTGGCCACATGGCAAATCTAGATTAACGGGGGATAAGCGGAGAGGCAGAGAGAAGGACAGAGTGGGGGTGGTGGACAAATTAGATAGAGATTAGGCCGGCCGGGAATGAGAGAAACAGCAAGAATGAGGAGCAGGAGACAGTTGATTTTTTGCTATGAGCAATTTATTTGCCTTAATGTGACTGTCAGCATTGGCTCTATCCTCTTAACTGGTCAGTTTTAGTTCCAGCCTTTGTTGTTAATGTTGATCAGATCTCTGCTTTTTAGATGCAGATGCATTTTGGACTGAGGAACTGAGAACAACTCCTGAATATTTGCCAAATGTGTTTCAAAAAAGAGGCGTCGTACACAGTCAGTCGGCTTTAAAAAAGCTGCTGATGTCCATGAGCGGAAGTGTATTTTCTGCGTTTTATTTTTGGCTTGTTTACTGTTAGACGGTATGTCTTAATGACATGTGTTTTTCAGTGTGACGGCTTACCTCATCGTTCCCTGTCACATAAATAAGTCCGACGCAGATAAACACAGACTATTTCACTAATCCAAAAGTCACGAGCGCACAAAAAACAGAGCAGTGACAGTTTAAGGGGTATTCGGGTTGCATGGAGGTGTTTTCACATGTTTACAACATCTAATTTCAGCATTGGTATTTTTCTGCAGGGAAAAAAAAAGTTTCTGAACCCACTGTGGGACAGAAAAAGGCATAATTCAGAGGATTGTTAACTGTAGATATAGATTTAAGGACCAGGATTGTCCCTTTTGCTGTTTGGGGCTCCAAAAACAAGTCAAATTTAAATAAATAAAGACTATTTTTTCTCCTTTATCAGAATAAGAAATACTTTAATATTCCCAGTGGGAAATTATTTAATTATTTAATTTATTATTTATTTTACCCAGTGGTGGAGAAAGTACTCATACAATGTACTTAAGTAAAAGTACAAATACACAGACAAAAATTTACTCAAGTAAAAGTCAAAGTACCACATTATTATTTTACTAAGAAAGTACAAGCTTTTAAAACTACTTTAGTATTAAAAGTAAAAGTACTTGCCAACCATAATACCTAACGGCTTATATATTGTTATTAAGTGTACCTATCGTATTTAGTTTTAATAAATCAGTAATGTACCATTTTAATGAGCAATGCTGCAGATAAAGCATGTTTTTATTGTGTTTACCCCCTGTGACAGTTTAGATTTAGATATTTTATGCAGGTCTTGAGGGAGGGCCTAATGGTTATTTCCCGCTTTGGATTGGTTCAGCGGACTGATTCTGCTCTCGCCATTGGATACTTTCAAACTAACGAACAAATCAGAAAACCGAAATGCGTCTTGGATGTAACGAGTAACGAAACGCTGTATAGAAATGTAGTGAAGTAGAAAGTACAGATACTTACTGTTAAATGTAGTGGAGTAAAAGTAGAAAGTATCCATTATTAAATCTACTTAAGTAAAGTACAGATACACGGAAATTGTACTTAAGTACAGTAACAAAGTACTTGTACTTCATTACTTCCCACCACTGATTTTACCCATGTCCTGTAGTGTTTGGTTATCAGAATATCCAGCCTTTATGATAAAGCACAGTCCCTGACTGTCACACATTTTGAAAGAGGTTAAAAAGTGGGTGGATGGATGGAGTGAGGTTTGTCCGATACGAAAGGAGAACACGGAGAGAAACCGAGTCGGAGGGGTGTTGCCGGTGGAGCGAGGGGAGTTGAAAAACACGCAGACTGAGGGAGTTGTGGGCGATCGGTAGGCTGTGACGGGGCCAGATGAGGCGTCGGTCGTACAGATGGGTGCTTCACCATCTCCAGAGTCCCGGTGTGCCCCGGGGAAATCACTCCCCCTTAAACAAATGAAGTGTGAACACTGTCAGCCACATGCAAATAAGCCTTGTTTGATATCTTCCCTACCCGTAGTGCAATTCTAAATGTCACCTCCTCTAGAGTGATGCTGGTGGAAAGGGGCGGGGGGGGGGGGGGCACGGTGAATGCCAGGGAGCCACAGGTGTTTTGTGTGATTTGAGCCTGTTGGTTGTTTATGGTCACCTGTTATGTGGGAAAGCAGAACGATGGTAAGAACAGAGAGCTCTTTACCAGATCACATTGTTTCCCTCCGTTGATCTGGGTTGATTTTTAGTGTAGTAAAAGTCAATTATTGAGTCAGTTTAACATCATTAACTTCAATGCCCAATAGGTGGATTCCCGTATCGTGTTTAATGAAGATAATTCACTGCCAGATATTAAAATCAGATGACTTTAGACGTCCTCTGAGACAGGAAAATTCAGAAATTATGTTCTGTTTGGTGTTTTTTTTTATAATCTGAGGGTCAGAAGGTGCACTGTTATGTTATGAATCTCTGTGGTCTCATAAATTTAATAGAGAATCATTCAGTGTTAAGTCAGGAAAAAAAAAGTTTTTTTTTACTATTGAGTTTTCATGAAATGGAACTTTTTAAAATTCTCAACAGGTTTTGGGGGGAAATTTAAGACTTGTTTAGATCAAATATGCACGATTACTTTATTAACAATAAACAAGAAATGGTCCATTACTGTATATATCATGGAATTCAATAGTATCCTTTAAATATAAACATCTAAACTAATAGTTTTGTATATTTATTGATATTCCGCATGTACAGGATGTAGAATCCAATATGATGAATTTAACATGCGCAACATTCATGGAAATGAGAGACTAAGCTACTACGGTCTATACGCCCCAGCTAACATCAGCCCGGATGTTTATCATCCATAAATGTGTAAAATAGCTTTGAATGCTTTATGTCTACCATTTACTGACCTAAATTGTTTTGTACGTAAACTAGAATAATAAGTAATGCATATTGCATTGTGGATGAATTAAATATTTATTCTTTTAAGGTTGATAGATTCTGAATGGCAGCTTTTTAGAGCCTGTTAGAAGCATTTTTCTACAAGTTCGACCACCATGCGTTCTGTAAAGGTGGTTACTCATAATAATCGGTGAGTCACAGGCACAGATTTTTTTTCTTCGTGTTTCTTTCTTATGATTCTGATTGTGTATTGTCATGATATGATTGTAAGGATGATATTCGTCAAATGCAGAGCCCTTAAATTAGGGAGAACTAAGAAGATCCAAATATGAAAGAAAACCAGAATCTACAGATAGGTCGAATTGTTGCATTTGATTAGACACAAGACGCTTTTTATTGTGTGAGTTAGAAAATGTGAGGATTTAACTGATATATCTGTTCAAAATACCATCTGGTATGTGAGCTTAGTTTGGTTTTCACATCATGCAATGACATGAACCAAACCCGAAAGGCACCAAACATCTTTCTCTTGTGTTGGTTTAAGCATGATCTTGCTGATTTTAACTTTAATCTCTTCTGTTTTTTTGTTTGTTTTTCTCCCACTAGGATGGGATCCCCGAGAGCCTGAGGGTAAAGGGTAAGTTTCCACCACGCGTTTTTTTTTTTTTACTCTTCTTTTCATCTTAATTACGTGCAGTACGAAGCCAGCGCAAACATGTTTTCATGTTTTGCATGGGGTTGTTGTCTAATGAAGGCCCCAGCAGGGGTTAAGCACATTATCTGTCACTTCTTTTTGAGCAATAGTGGTGTTCAGAGTGTGAGAAAAACAGCCTCCCCTCAGCTGAAGTGACACCACACTCACTCCGGCATTGTGATATATTTTGTTTTCCTCGACGTCTGCCTCCCGACACATCCTGATGCAATTGCACGCTGTCTGAGATAGGTATGGGAAAGTGTTTTTAATCAATACCGACCCTGCTTATCATTACAAATAGAAGTCAATAGTCTTTTCCAAAGCTCTAACCTCTTATTCAAAGATAAACATAGAAATGATGTCTCAACAATCACAGAATATCGCACTTATCTGTATCCATCAAATTTAGCAACCGTTTTTCTTTTCTTTAACGTTTGCCAATGGGGGATGGGTATATCAGCTTAAAAGGCTGTGGATTTGATCACGGCTTTGTCTGTAAATCGGTTATCAGATAATTGTGCCACAAAGAAACTGTCCATACCAGAAACTGACCGCTGCTGTTGTTGACATCATTATCTCTTACCGGCTTTTTTTTCCCCCGTCTATAATAGTGTGATACTGGGCCCAGTGAATAAATGAATGCACCATGGTCCTCTTGCTGGTTTGACAGATGTGGCTCATTTGTCAGCCTGTCACCCCTCTAATGTCTCCTCTGAACAAGAGTCAGTGCCAGGCAAAAGGGTTGGTCCTGCTGCCCAACATGTCTGCCACTAAGTGTTTGAAGGGGGCGCTAAATGGACATCTCCCCATTTTTCTTCAGCCGGGGAAGGTCGAAGCAGTAATTGTGGAGGGTGCATTAGCATAAAGGGCGGCCCCAGCTGTCTGCCGTGATTCACTTTAATGCACCGCGTTCCGTGAGCCAGGAGGGGAGGGTCTCACTTTGGCCAGTTTTCAGCAAACTCATTTCAGACCCCCAGATAACGAGAAGGCGAGAGAAAACCGTACAGAAATCATAAATAATTCAAACGGTGGCACATAGCCTATATTGGAGACCCCCCTGTTATTGCCGAGCTCCGGCCAATTCAGCCTCGAAACTCCGATTTTTCAAACTCTGTCACCATCTGCATTTTCAATTGAAAGAAAAACACAAGGAGCAACTTAACTTCAGTTCAATGATGACAAACGTTTAATGGTAATCTTCGAGCATGATAAAGCAGAGAGGAAGAACACATGGATAGCTGTTTTGGCCTAAAAAAGTCTTGATGAAATAAATATTACAGAAGCTGAATTTTGTTGAAACCTGTAACGCGTTCTGTCATGAACACTGATCTGAGACAGTTCTGGTCCTCATGCTGTCTCAAATCGTTGACATTCTCAGGGAGGTGATCGACATGTTTAAAAAGTGATGTATTGAAATGACTCTCCTACATTTAGTGGGGAAAAGAAATCTCGAAGAGCTAATTTTTGACGGTGAGGAAAAATGCATTTCCCTACAAATGTCTAACTGAATGTTGGCACCAAACCAATATACAAACCAACAGATGCCAGCAATTTTCCAGGTTGCTATAATATGAGTTCTGGAGTAAATTGGAGTCACACCAACTCAGCTTGTTGTCCACTTGTATCTGTTGCTTAACTTAAGGCTGATGGTGAAATGGAATTTTCTAAATCAAATCGATGGACTTTAACTAGGAAAAAACTTGATGGTCATCTTAAATGAAATTCTACTGTTTATATATTGTGCTAAAAGGGGGTTAACTTTGCTACACGGTGTGCCAATAACATGACAATGAAACAGTAACTTGACTGCACAACAGACAACATTCAATGTCTACAAGTCATTTAAAGTTATAACAGTCCTTTAGCCCAGTAATTGGTTTTGTGGAACTTTCCAAAAATTCAATCCAAATCAGGCTGCTCAAATGGAATTTGTAACTACTTTTACGAAACTCAGTATTTGATTTTAATCAGTAATTAATTCTTGAAAAAGCACATTTCTCTCCAGCTTTGGATACATTTCGATCGGGTTTGTTGGGTCACATCTGTTTAAACACTCTCAGCCTTCACCATTTATCTGAATTCTGATATTGAGTTAACATTATTTTGGCTGGATGCCCAAACATATTTAAGTTTAACCTGATGCCACTTGGGTTAATAAAAATTCTCTTATGTCTTTGGGATTTTTTATTTATTCAGAAGCTTACTGGCCGTGTCTTCCTTAACCCTGAACCACTCATTTTAAGTTTTGAAATAAACCTCAGATACTAATAATCCGTAAATTGATATTTAGCTTTGTAGATTTTCTAATATAGGTTTCTTCCTTGCACACAGATATTCTTTTATTTATTCTCTTAAGGAAGGTATTTGTATGATTTGGTCAGAAGACTTGTCCTGTTTTTAACCCTTTAAAGCCTGATCCAAGAATAAAACTGAACAGGAAATTACTTATTTTTATTTTTCTTATTCCTTATTTGGCCTTTTAACAAAATATGTAAAAAGAAAAAACAGAAATACATTTTTGATATTAATAATTTATTACTATGCGATAAGTCAAGATAATTTTTTGTGTAGTCTTCTGCCCCCTGTTATCAGGTGTATCTGATTGTGTACAATAGGATTTTGAGCAAAGTTTTTACCATTAAATTATCCAAAAGGTGTCAGACGCAAAACATTTCAGAAACCGTATGTATTAAATATGATACATTTGGCATTATAGGGCTAATATGAACAAGCTACATCTCTTTCTTCCTCTTCATCGACACATTGAAGATAATTAAGATTAACTACATGCACACAACTTATAACCTTATCTGGGTTCTTTTCTGTTAATGCAAAGACCAGCATGTAGTTACATAAAGTAGATCCATGTTATGCTAACTGGAATGAGAGCTGTGGCTGAAAAACCCTGCTAAACTGATTAAAAAGTTATTCTTTTTTTTATTCTATTGGATTGGCGTGATCAAAACTCCTACCTGGGTAACAGTTGTTGACCCGTGTATTTTCATACGTCCCCACAGATGGTGTGTGTGTGAACAGTTTGACTCTCCTGACTATTCTCATTAGTACGTTTCAGCCTTTGAGGTTTGATCTCAGCACAAGAGCAAACACCTTGTTTTCTTGCCTAGTTTAAATGCTCATGTCCCCCTAATCTATGTCATCTTCTTTTCTTTCCGATACGGACATAATCTATTAATTTGTATGCATGGCAACTGGCTTGCCCAGCCAGATCCAAGTCCATACCAGACGCACATTTGAATAATTCAAAAGCTGCAACCACCGAGTTCTAAATTGTATATTAATTCTAAAATTACACTCCACCCCCTGGGAGTGAGTTACACTTTAATAACTCATCACTTCAGAAAGGAGTTTGTTGTGGGGCACTTTTCTCAAACATAATTCTTGAAAGACTGAATGTTGTTCCATCTCACTTTGAATTTTTGACAATTTACAACATTTTTCATAAAATACGTCCTAATCAGTTAATTGTACTGTAGATTCATGGAGCACAGACTTTTAATAGGCAGGGAACAGGTATTTTCAATCAGGGCTGTGGAGTTGAGTGTACAATCAGCCTATAGGTGCAACTGTAAGACTTACATGATTTACTGGGTTTTAAAAAAGACCCTAGAAGATTGATTTTGGAAACCTTACAGGGTTGTCTGTCTAACTTTAAAGGGTGCTTATGTTTCTTGACCAAAAGAGTCTCAAACATTGTGCATTATGTGTTTTAAATGCCTTCTTGGATCTTTTTTTTTTTTTGCTAGATGAGTGTCCGAAGCCTCCCGTACAAAATCATAACCATAAATCTAAACAATAAAAAACTGCGTTTTTGTAATTTAGCCCCTCCAGTTTTCATGTTCAATCTAATATGTTTTGCTTAATTTCTATGCCATTATAGTCTTATAGTCTGTTTCCAGATAGGGAACTGATAAGATTGTATCGGCAAGGTGACTTGTCCCAAAAACTTCCTCATGAAACAAATGTGTGACACTTAAAAAAAAAAAGTAATTTGCTGACTCGTCAGTTGTCTCAGTTTAAACGATTACACTTTCTTTGGTTGTTTCATTTTGGCTACTTGTTTGTTTGTCTGAGGTCCTCTTGACAGTTCTTCTCTAACTAAAGTCAATGTTTAATGTACGTGAAGATGTCCAATTTGAACATTTAGTTGTTTAGCTTTCCCTTGACAGTGTTTGACATTTGTAAAGTAAGCACTATGTCTTATTGAGTAGTGGATCAGATAAGTGATTTATTCCTGTTTGATTTGCCAATGCTGCTTAAGTCACACTGAACTATTTTCTGGACTAGTCTAAGCCCCCCCCCCCCAGCCCTCAGGCAGCTGCAGAGCTGCTGTGTCTCAATGAAATAAAAGGAGAGACTTTTTTGTTAGAGTGAGAAATAAAGCTTGATGCTCAAAAACGAAAAGTCACACAGGAAGCTTGCAGCTCCAATGTATTTTCTCTAACGCTGTTAAAGAACAAATGGAAATACTGAGCTGTGGCAGAAGCCATCCAACCATCCATAGATGGGTAATTCTGCCTGTTTTTGGTTCTCTCTATCTCAAGAAAATTGACCCAAAGCACAAAAAAAAAATCATTAACGGTGACTCTTCACCAAGAGGCAGAAAGACTAAAAACGGTCAAATACAAATACATTCAACTCAAGTATTTTTAACTAATTCTTTTGACAAATATTACCACTGAACATTCTCGTGATGATTCCCCTGTTACGACCTTGTGCAGAAAACCACTCAACACGTGTCAGTGTCCCGATTACCGTTCAGTCCTCCTTGTATTTATCTAAAAGTAAGTCAGTAATTCGGTAATTAAGCTGCCGACAAAAACAAAAGCTCTCTTGAACTTCACTTGTAGCCTTGTCTATACAAGCTGTAAAACTTTGAGAATTTATGAAGCACGATCGTGACAGAGTGATTAAAAAGGTTTATT